AAGCTAAATATTGGTTGAAGAAGGGTTATGGCTCTCTTAAATTCGTAATAATTGGCTGATGCATTCTGTATGGTCAGTAATTTTAACAATGTAACGTATGCCACTGCCAGTGGCCAACGTGGCCAGTGTCATGTGGTGGTCTGAAATATTCCAGAAACGTCTCAAGACAACGCTAGAAGGGCTGGAGTCTACAGAATGCATTGCGGACGACATCATCGTGTGGGGCGGTGGTGACTCGATGGAGGAAGCACGTAGGGACCACGACAAGAACCTAGAGGCTCTAATGTTCAGAGCCCACAAACAAGGTTTAAAATTCAAATAATCTAAGTACGAGTTTAGAACAACCTCTACAGTGTTCCAAGACATATCATAACAGCTGCAGGGCTACAGGTAGATCCAGAAAAGGTCAAGGCCATTCAGAATCTGAAACCCCCGAAAAATGTTGAAGCCGTGAGTTTTGCGAGGTACAGTGAATTACCTGGCCCGGTTTCTGCCTCAGCTGTCGACCGTGATGGAGCCCATTAATAGGCTGACCAAGGAGGATGTTGCTTGTCATTGGGAGCATGGACAAGACCAGGCTTTGACGAAGATCAAAGACATGATCTGCACAGCACCAGTAATGGCATATTATGATACCTAGAAGGAGCTGGTGCTACAATATGATGCCAGTGAGTCAGGCCTTGGGGCCGCACTGTTACAGGAGGGTCGTCCAATAGCGTATGCCAGCCGGGCACTTACAGACCCCGAGACAAGATACGCTCAAATAGAGAAGGAGGCAGTCGCAGTGGCTTGGTCACTTGAACATTTCAGACAATACACATATGGGAGAAAAACCATAGTGCACACAGATCACAATCCTGGAATATGACATTGACCTGAAGTGGAGACCTGGGAAGGAGATGCACGTCGCAGATATGCTGTCCAGATCCTACCTACCTAAATCGACAGGAATGTCAGACATTGAGCAGGTATGCATGGTAGACTACTTGCCGATCCGAACAGAAAGACTCGAACAGCTCAAACTAGAGACAGAAAGGGACGAGACATTGCAGCTCTTGAGGCTAGTGATTCTGAAGGGATGGCCAGAAGAGAAGCATCAATGCCCTACCCAGGTAACGCCATACTTCAGCATACGTGATGAACTGAGTGTACAGGACGGTCTGATATTCAGAGGCGAGAGGCTCGTCATCCCTGCAAGCATGAGAGACCAAATGAAGAAGGCTATTCACACCTCTCATTTAGGGGAAGAGTCGTGTCTCAAAAGGGCCAGAGAAGCACAATACTGGCCAGCCATGAACGCGGAAATCAAGACCTTCATATCAACTTGCGACACATGCCGCAACTATGAAACCAGCCAGTGCAAAGAAACTATGATGCCACATGAACTACCTGGTAGACCCTGGGAAAAGGTTGCCATTTGACCTATTTACTTGGGAAGACAAAGACTACCTGGTGACGTCAGATTATTACACCAATTTCTGGGAGGTGGACAGACTGAAGAGAAGCAACTCTTCAACTATCATCAGCAAACTGAAAAGGCATTTTGCCAGACAGGGAATACCAGAACAGGTTATTAGCGACAATGCTCAAAATCCGACATCCGATGGATTCCAGAGATTCGCGAGAGACTGGGATTTTGAACACGTCACCGTGAGTCCGTACAACAGCAAGGCAAATGGCAAGGCGGAGTCATCAGTGAAGGCAGCAAAGCGGATGCTACGGAAGGCGAAGAAGTCCGGAACTGATCCATATCTCGCCCTGCTGGAGATTCGCAACACCCCAACACAAGGAATGGGCAGTAGCCCCATGCAGCGTTTGAATAACCGTCGGGCACGCACCCTGTTACCAATGACACCGAACCTACTCAAGCCTCGAAACAGAGAGAGATCAAATGCAACAGCTGTAGAATAGACAAACAAAGTACTACAACAGGAACGCAAAAGATCTGCCTGCACTGGAACAAGGTGACACCGTAAGAATGAAGCCTTTTGCTAAAGGACAACGTGAATGGAAGAAAGGTGTTATAGTGGCTAGGCTCGATGAGAGGTCGTACACAGTGGACACACCAGATGGCAGTTACAGACGTAATCGTGCGCACATTAAACGCACCATGGAGGAACCACCGCCCACTACCATGCAACGAAAATCATTACACATACCGCCAAGGAAGACGGGTGAAAATAAGGCAATAGCACCGAGGACGACGGGTAACACGGAGCCAATCCACAGGCCTATTGGCCACAACAAATCTGCAAGAGAAGAACCCATGGCAACATCTAGAGAGAAGAACAATTTACATACGCCGACAAAGAAATTTCCCCCTCAACCAATACATACTTCTCCCCCACTTGCACCACTTCAGAACAATCACAACACCACCAGGTCAGGTAGAGCCGTCAAGAGACCCGCTCACCTAAGCAATTATGTACCGTGAGCGATGATAGAAGGTGATCGATAGGGCCATCAGTACAATCTGACACCATACACCCAGGAAGATTCTAACTAAGTTGTTTTTAAGGATACAAAACCTACATCAATTGAACTGTAGGTCAGGATGATATTATTTGAATGTGGCATTTGTTAAAGTCCCTATAATAATGGAAAATTCGTTTGTTATCGTTGTCACTTAATTGGCATTTGTTAGTTGACTGTGTTGTATAGGTACGCTTTATACAAGGTTCCACGTGCATTGTTGAGAGTTTTGAGTTATTTCATATAGGAGAAAAGATGTATCACACCGCGTAGTCTTGTTCTATGTGTTCCCGCCCTGTATGTGTGAAGGGTCACGTGGTGTGATCGTGGTAGTTGGAAGATGGCGGAATAAGAAGTGTACGAATAAACTATGTGTGTTATCTTTCACTCTGAGTTATGTTTATACTGGCATGTTACAGTCGCGCATCTTGCGCGGCTAGATTGATGTTATAGGGAGAATGGTAGGGGCCTAAACGTGTTTTAGGTCGGGCGTTTCTAGGGTCATTGTGAAATGGAGGTAGGATGCGGTCTGGGAGAACGGGCGACATGTGTGCTCAGGATGTAGGGTTTTTGGGGGTAATATATAGAAGAGAGATTAGAGAGAGGCGAGAGACAGATGTACGTAGGAGTGGAGGAGTCTGGTTGTAGTCGCAAGAGTAAGCACACGCACTTAAGGGGTAGACACACTAGGCGATTTTTCATGCGATCGAGCTCGCCAACCGAGCCGGCCGGCTCGATTGCATGAAACATCGCGTAGTGTGTCCTGTGAGTCGCATCGATTTTCGAGTCGGCCGGCCGAGTCGCCCGATTCAAACATATTTGATAATTATTTGAGCCGGCCGGCTGCAATCGCCTAGTGTGACCGGGTATGCGATTGAGCCGGCCGATTGTACAATTCATCAGCCAATCAGCGTGCTGAAAATCCACAGAGTTGCCCGACTCAGTCGCGTAGTATGTCCACAGAGTTGCCCGACTGAGCCGGCCGGCTCGATCTCATGAAAATTCGCGTAGTGTGTCCACAGCTTTACGCACGCGTGGGTGTTTCTTTGTCTCTCTGTGCAAGATGTGACTACACTGTGTGCCAGTTATTAAAGTTTATGCAGTTTAATATACAAGTTTGGATTCCTTCTACATCAATATTCATATACATCGAAAGTTAATTCAGCGTTACATTTTGGAGCAAGTGACAGTTCCAAAAGCTGGGTACGCAATGCAATTATATGCAGTCTATATCATGTCACTCCTGATAATAATATAGACACACATTGCACACAAACAAGCACAGATGCTCTTATCTGCACGCAGACACAGTGTAATGGTGGGAAAGGCTATAACAATCGAACACTCCAGCTACATGAAAAACAAGTGCCGCAGAGCGACAGCACTCAACTGACGTGTACTGTAGCCGGCTATTCTTCTGATAAACTCACTGGCAACCGATTCAAGTGCGCCCTCCCGCCACCGCGTTGATAGGCTTTGCTATACTGGTAGTACAGTAATAAAGATATAGCTGTGTAGCTTTAATGACTACGCTATATTAACGTTATCATGGATATGCGTCGAACGCGAGCGTAGTGGTGGTGGTGGGGGAGGGTGGGGGTGAAAGAAGGTAGGGGAAGGGGGCGTGCGGGTGAAGGGGCTCTAATAGCAAAGAGCGTTCAGTCCCTATTGTAAAATGAGACAATCCATGTTACCCCTCCTCTTGAGGAAGTCCAAAAGGTTATTCAGACGACTTACTCCTTCGCACCGTCAGTGGAAAGCACAATTTACATGGTCCTTATCAATAATAACCCATTAAAAATGGTAAGGTCACCGCTGAAACAAAAAAGTTTTTCAATCGCTCCGTTAGACCATGTTCTCAGAAAATGTCTAAAATCTGCCCTGTGCCCCATTGACCTTTGACCTGTGACCTCCAATTTCGCCACAGTGATGGCTTTTCCTACCATGATGCTATACACTGGCTATCACGAGCCTAGGTCGAGCCGTTTAGATTTGTGCTGCAATTCTGCATTTCCTCCCTATACCTTAAGTTAAGGAGGGAATGTTCCCCCTTCTTTTACACCATTTGACCTTTAAACTTTGACCCCCAGCTTCGACATCCCAACCCGTTTTTTCGGATTACCCCTCATGTCCCAAATATTGTGACCGTACGTCGAGCGGTTAAGATTTGTGCCCAACTGTTGATGCACGGACGGTCGCACGGCCGGACGAACGCACACTCATGCGATTCTACAAGCTGCATCTGACTATGTCAGATGAGCTGACTAGTGAAACATCGATGTGACCTTGAAAGGTATCAATATTTTATTAAAAACTCACACGCAATAATTTATCGATAAGTTACAATACATTGTCGTCTATAATACAGCTCTCGCTCAGAATATGAACAATAGTCTATAGACTATATCAGCAGTGAATAAATCTGTTTTAATTTTACTCTGTCCTGCCAATACACTTACAGCAATCACTACGCCAGCAACACCTCGCAATATTAGACACAGTAGTTTATAGCACACACAAATCTCATCTTTGTCACAAATTAAGTGTAAGGCGACCGTAGTCTGCCGATGTGACTGTGGCACAATAGCTGCTTCCTAATACCATACACGGCGTGTAGTTTATGCGCAAATGGCGTGGTGCCCATCTACCAGTCGTCCGGCCGATGCGTCACAGTGGTGAGTGTGCGGGACAGGCGAGGCCGGTCAACTGCCACGAGACTCGGCTGGTCGGAATGAAGTCCATCGGTCTTGCAGCAACACACTTCACATCGCCCTGGCAACGCAAGTGAGAAACATTCCACGTCAGGTTCGACGGCTCGGTGAAAAAAGGTCGTGCGCACAAGACACGCCTCATGAATCGATCACTGATATAATCAATATATCAATATATTGCTGATTGATCTTAAATCAATGGCTGGAAATCACTAGTACGGGTAAAATGGTACATTTTATAGCTGCTATCCGATTAGCAGTGATTCACACGTATTGAGCTGTCACTGAGCAAGTTAGGACATCAATGTTATATAGTTCCTTAGTGATAACGCAGTCAAATTCGGACTAGATCCGAAACGCAAGGCGTAGAAGCAGATCCACATATGTGATAGACTCGAAGTCAGATGTAAGTAAGGAAGCAGTCAAGGTTAGATGTATGTAGGAAATCGGCCGAGGTTAGATGTAGGTAGGAAATTGGTTGAGGTTAGATGTATGTAGGAAAGTGGTTGAGGTTAGATGTATGTAGGGAAGCAATCTAGGCTAGATGTAGGTAGGGAAGCAATCTAGGCTAGATGTAGGTAGGAAGTCAGCCGAGGTTAGATGTAGGTAGGAAATTGGCCAAGGTTTACCGAATGGGAGAGCTTTATGTTTGTAATGGTTGTTCTTTTGTAACACAAACCTTCAAGTAGAGATTGAAACACTTTGAGCAGAACATCTTCAGTTCCGGATCCGCGTAGAAATCGCAGCCAATCATGCGGCAGCGAATCCCATCACGCGGCCAATTAAATTTTAGACCATCTTGCGCGTCGCATGCCGACGTTGCCAACTCTTCCCGATCAGGGGTCAGTGTGCCGCTTGCTCCGCCACCTGTAGGAGGAAATAGTAAGCATCGTTTACATCTCGGTAGACGTGTGGAGTCTTGAGGGTTAGATGTGTGGCCATACCACATTAGTACAAATTAATCGACTTGTCCACTTGTCCTAATTGACAGACAGCTTTAACTAATCCCTGTTGTGCCAGGACATTCTAAAAGACAATGCTTGGACGTGAATCACAAGGGCAGGAATTGTGATGTTTTCCTAGGAGCCCTTATCCTATTTTGCTCCTCTCACAGACCTAATGGAGAAGCAACTTCCCTGTTCCTCCTCCACTCTGTACCCTAACCTAACCTGATAAATGAGAAACCTCCCTCTTCCTCCTCCACTCCTTATCTTCCCCCTAACCTTCTCCTCTGTCTCCTCCACTGCTTATCCCCCTTCCCTTCTCCTCTGTCTCCTCCACTCCCCCTCCCCTCCTTCTCTTCCACTTGCTCTCCTGATGCCTAAGAAACCTCCCTTTTCCTCCTCCACTCCTTATCCTCACCGTCCCCTTCCCCTCCTACTCCATTTTCTCACCTGATGCTTGAGAAAACTCCCTCTTCCTCCTCCACTCCTTATCCTCACCGTCCCCTTCCCCTCCTACTCCACTTTCTCACCTGATGCTTGAGAAAACTCCCTCTTCCTCCTCCACTCCTTATCACCCTCCCCTTCTCCTCTGTCTCCTCTACTCCTTATCTCACCTCCCCTTCTCCTGTCTCCTCCACTTCCCCCTCCTTCTCCTCCACTTGCTCACCTGATGCATGAGAAACCTCCCTCTTCCTCCTCCTCTCCCTATCCTCCTCCTCCCCTTCTCCTCTTTCTCCTCTTTTTTCTCACCTGATGCCTGAGAAACCTCCCTCTTCCTCCTCCTCCTCCTCCTCCTCAGCATTCGTTCCAGTGTCGTGTAGCATCCGTCACACAGACCGTTGACGCTGGCAACGTTCCAACAACCCGGCCCGACGCACCTGCCTCCGCAACCGTTGCTTTCGTCTGCCACCAGGGGGAGCCGGCTGCGATCTGCACGCGTCAATCGAGATGCTGGCTCACGCCGCTCGCTCGCGTGTTCTCTTGTTTGTCCGCTACTGCGATTCCTGGCAACCGGGCGCTCGTCGAGTGGCGCCCTCGTAGCATTGTCCAGCCACCAAATCTCGTCGTTAGACTGATGCCGCGACTGTTGATTCCGCCCGGTAGACCGATGCGGCGACTTATGTTCGTCGGGCGAACTCTGGTCGCCTAGCAACAACACCGTCGCCGCGTTTCTTCTAGTTCGAGCGTCCAGGTGACCGCTAGGTGGCGCTGTCATCCAGTCATCTCGCGCTGCGGTGGAGCGTGCTCGCACAAACAGGTCAAATCTCTCTTCGACGTCAGCTACCAAGAGGGCGCCACTATTATAAACATTTGCGGTCGCGAGGGCACCACCGTCCGTGCAAAAGAATGATTTCCATGATGCGAGCTCATCACTGTGTGCTTTATCCGCATCGCCGCGGTGACCGTCGTCGGGGTTGCCGGTGTTACCGTCGCCGTGGTTACTGCCGCCATGGTTACTGTTGTTGCGGTTTTCGTCCGGCACGGGCGACGACACAATGTAACAGTCGCTGATGGAGCAAGTCTTGTAGAAGCAGATGTCACAGTAACCACGGTAACTCGCCGTCCGCGTGCAGTCTTCCACCATGCAGGTGGCGCCAGCGTAAACCCACGCGAACGATGCCGCTGCGCTCTCCTTGCTCTCTAACAACGTTGGCGTGTGTGTGCGGGGGCTGTCAGCCGGTGACGCACGCTCACTTGTTCTCGTGCGCGCGCACTCGTGGCAGTAGGGATATGTGAGGTAGCTGCACATGTAGAGGCAATGGTCGCCGTGGCAACACTCCTCCATCAGCGAGACGATCTTGCCCGCGGTCTCGCGTTGCCATGGCAATTGTGCGGAAGGTGGCTTTGTGGTTTTCTCGATGTTCGTGAACGATTTGCCGCGGTTCGCTGTGGTCTGTTTACGCGTCACGTCGGCTAGGTTGTTCGTCATGGTAGCGTTGTCACGACAATGAGTAGGTGGCAGTGGATCACACTGTTGCTGCTGCAGTTCATGTTGTTGCTGCTGCTGTTGCTGCTGTTGCTGTTGCTGCTGATAATGACGATGACGATGGTGATGCTTATGATGATCCTGCTGCTGATGATGCTGATTCTGATTACACTGATGCTGCTGCTGTTGACGATGATAATAATGATCATGATGTTGCTTCTGTTGCTGCTGCTGTTTCTGTTGATGCTGCTGCTGCTGCTGCTGCTGTTGCTGCTCCTGCTTCTGCGATGCACACTTGTCGTCACCAGCAACGTCATCTCCAACAGACGTTCCGTTGTCGATGGTCGAGCGATCGTCGGCGGACCGGTTGCCCGATCGGTCAGCCCCAGTGTACCGGTTGCTGGCATGGTCAGCACCAAGCAACCGGTTGTCGGTGGGCACCGTCAGTTCTTGCAGCACGGTCACGTACAGCTGCATTAGACTGGTGCTCGTCTCTAGCTGCTGCGGGAGCGCGTGCGCGCACAGCACCTGACACGCCTCGTTGCAACGCGACAACGCGCACTCGCACACCGCCAAGTAGTCGCCCACCAGCCGGCGCCACCGCTGCGCCTCCGCCGGCAGTGCAAGCCGAATGCTCAGCTGTTTCATCGCGTGCGTCACCAGCGGGATGGCGGCGGGCCAGTGTAGAGGGTGCTGCGTGTCAACTTCCGGTTCCTGTGCGGTGGTTCCCATGGGAAGCAGGGGAACGAAGCGGCCATGACAGTAACCGAGCAGCATGGGAGATTTGATGCAGTACTGGTGGCGAGACAGCAGCGGAAGGTAGACACCTGAAACAAGTAAACGAACGAGTGTGCACTCTGTGCACGTGTCGCGCATGGGAACGCGGATAATCTCTGTTCATCGCAAACCGGTTTTTTACTTGTGTGTAACAAGAGCCGCAGAGCATCTGGGCTCATCTGAGGTCTGCTGTTCATCAGAGGTCGAGCGGTTATAAACGTAACATTTAAGTCGTGCGTAGTGACACCTTTGTTAGGTGCAGATATGCAGATACGCAGTTGCGTACACATCATTTCAGCAACCTTCTGCATTCTGCATACTTCCCAAATCCCATTGGTTGATACAAATTGCGTGCCTGATACTCCTGTTTTATGGTGCATTGTGACCCTAACTCTAACCCTAACCCTATTTAAAAAAAAAAAATTATTGTTGTAAAAATTATTTGTTATTAAATTGTTCTAAATAAATCATGTAAATATTTGCGTTAATTGGGGAAAAAATTGTTAAATGGATAAAGATAGAAAAATACAGAAAACTGGTAAATGATAAAAAATCTGATGGGATTCGATCCAATGACATTTGAACCGTGACGCTAGTGCTGTACGCGTTCGGCTATCTAGGCTTATTGGCTTTCTAGATTATGGATGTGCCATGAATATGAGAACACTGTGACATCATCAATCCTCCTCTTGAGGGTCAAAAGGTTATCAGACACTTACTCTTCGCACGTCAGTGGAAAGCACATTTCATGGTCCTTTCAATAAAGTGATAAAAATGGTAGGTCAGCGCTGAAAAAAAAAAGTTTTTTACTCTGTCCATTACGCCATGTCCCAAGAAAATGCCTGATATCTGACCTTTCCCCCACTGCCCTTTGACCTGTGACCTCCAATTTCGCACTGGTGATGGGTTTCCTGCCTATCACGCTATACATCGAATATTAAGAGCATAGGTCAAGCCGTTAATGTTTGTGCCACAATTCCGTATTTCCTCCTATACCTTAGTATAAAATAAATCCCCCTCCGTTTACACATCTTGACCTTTGACCCTTGACCCACAAATATGTAATCCTGAGTCCTTTTCACGATCCACCCCATACCCCATACCCCCCCCCCACGTCCCAAATATCGTGACCGTACGTCGAGCGGTTAAGATTTGTGCCCAACTGTTGACGGAAGGACGCACGAACGGACGCACGGACAATCATGCGATTCTAAAAGCTGCATCTGACTTCGTCAGATGAGCTAAAAATGCATCGTGATATATGGGAGTAGTTGAAAACAACTTGCTTTTGATATATTGTAATAACAACAATTTGCTTTCATATCGTAATTCACAAAATACCACAAAATTGTTTTTATTCACTTCTGATATCACTCGTAATATAGTCCAGCCTACCAAGCACCGAGGTGCCAGACACACCACCTGGTGGCAGAAATAAACCCCAACGACCCCTGGTGTAGAACGGGAATCACCTGCTACATCGCTGTCCGCTCTCCCGCTAACATCGCCGCGCGATCCCACGTCCTCGCCAGCGAGCACTATGATTGGTCGACGCAGCACATTGGCAAGAGCAAACACGTGCAGCTCCTCTGCGCCCCTTAGTGGGGAGGCACATGTCACGCCCCCTGGGGGTGGCTCACGGGCCACGCCCGCATCCGTGGCAGGGTTGACTCCCGTTGCCGACTCGTCGTTCCAATCCGCGTGACACTGCCAGTCCTGCATCACAATAACAACAACAATAATAATAATAATAATAATAATAATAATAATAATAATAACACATAAAATATAACAACAACAAGAAGTAAGACAACAACAACGGCGGCGACGATGACGACGACGACGACGACGACGACGACGACCATGACGTCAACAAATTAGCAAAGTGCATGAGATGGTGCCGAAACTCTACATCGGACGCTTCTTTATTTGCCACAACACATACCAATAGACTACTGATGGATTCCTTCTCCTGTGAACCTTGGCACGCCATCCTCTCCTCCAGTGTACCCTGACGCACTATCTTCTCCTCCCGTGTACTCTGATAGTGATACATCATCCTCTCCTTCTCTGCCTGCCATCGGTCTTTCAGCTTTGCTTGGGCATCGCTGAGTAGAGCCTGCTGGAGAAGTTGTTGTAGCAACAGGTGGTTGTCGTGGATACCCCACATGTAGATGGACGCCGCATGGAGCAGACAGCTGTGCTCGCCTGCGTGTGAGTCGGTTCAAAGGTTAGAGTCAGGTCAGAGGTCGCAGTCCCTTCGCGGGATCGATTGCAAATGGAGACTATTTAAACGACGTAGATTGTAACTATCAGCTTGACAGACCTTTAAAGTGGATAAATCTCACAGCTAAATGCATATATATATATA